GTTGGTCTCTCTTGAGATAATGCCGTCTGTGGTCTCGTAATTGCTGTGGCTTTAAGCCAGGGCTCTCCAAACTTTGGCCACTTAAAGGCACGTGGACTTCAAACTCCCAGAATTTGCACTTTGCAAAACGCCTCGCTTAACCACAAAAAAAATCCTGGCCTCAATTGCAGTCGTAAGTCTGAGTAAATGTGTTTTTATTTTTTTCCATTTTCATTTTCGTACAGTCACATATATACTGTGCAGAACCGGGGCCATATAACGTTAAACAATAAACACAGCCATTCCTCTTGTCAACATAACCCCCCAAAATAGAAACCCAATGTACCTCTTCGACCCTCCATACACCTCTTTCTTTCGCCCCCCCTCCAACTTTCCCTCTTCCCTCCATCATTCCCTTCTGCCCTACTTCCCCTCCCCCTCTCCCTCTACCACTACCCGTCGAGGGGGGGTTTTGTGGTTGGGGTCCATGTGACGCTGCCTTCCTTGAGGCCCCGCCGTGTCACTTTGTAAAAATGAGCCCCGGGAATTCTGGGGATTGAAGTTTGGAGTCCCCTGCTTTAAAGCCGGCAGCATTGGCCATGGGCCCTGCGGTTTTCTCTGCACAGGCAAGTCCTCGACTTAAGGACCGGCCACTTAGGGACCGTTCAAACTTCCTGGGGGAGCCGGGAGGTTAAGAAGCAGGGCATATAAATCAATAAACGTTTCCACTTTTGGGCAAAACTCTCTTCCTTTGGTGAATCACATTGTGGTTGGCTTAATGACCGCCAGGGCGATGTTTGCTTAACGACCATTGCAAAAAAAAAAAGGTGGTAAAATCAGGTGGGTCGGTCGTTGATGATTGTCATGGAACCGTAACCACAGCCTCCGTCGTAACTTGAGGACCACCTATAAGCCTTTCCGAGGCAGCTTCTTGCCTCCCTCTTTGGGCTGCCTCTGGAGGGCCCCCTTGGGTGGGGGGGAGGGGGGGAGGGTGCAGAGGGGAGGGGGCCTGGGCCTGGCCTGTAGGGGAGGGGGCTCCCCTAGATCTCAGCCGTCTCCCTTGCTTCAGGCGCCTGATGAAACGCCTGGACGACATGCGGAGCAACATGGCCGGGGACGGAGTGGAGCGCTGCGTCTTGTGCGGAGAACAGCTGGGCCCCCCAGGCGCTGCCTGCGTGCTGTGCGAAGGCTGCAAGAAGGTGAGCGGGGGGGGGGTGTCCCTGTCCTGCAGGCTTTCTTGGCCCCCTGCATGAGGGGGGTCTTCTTTCTGCCTTCCACTTCCATGTAGCCTCTCTCCTCTTTCCCTTTTCTCTCTCTCTCTCTTTCTCTCTCACTCCTCTTTTTCTTTCTCTCTCTTCTTTCTCTTTCTTTCCTCTCTCATTCTTCTCTCTCTTTCTCTTCTCTTTCTTTCTCTCCTCTTCTTTCTCTTTCTCTCTATCTTGTTCTTCCTTTCTCCTCTCTCTCTCTCTTCTCTTTCTCTCTCTTACTCTCTCACTCTTCTCTCCCTTTCTCTCGCTTCTCTTTCTCTCTTTCTTTCTCCTCTCTCTCTCTTTCTGTATCTCTTTCTCTCTCACTTCTCTTTTTCTTTCTCTCTCTTCTCTCTCTCTCACTCTTCTCTCTTTCTCTTCTCTTTCTTTCTCTCTTCTTTCTTTCTCTTCTTTCTCTTTCTCTCCTCTTTTTCTCTTCTCTCTCTCTTTCTCTCTCACTCCTCTTTTTCTTTCTCTTCTCTCATTCTTCTCTCTCTCTTTCCTCTTTCTTTCTCTTTCTCTCCTCTTTCTCTCCTCTTTCTCTTCTCTCTCTTTCCTCTCTTTCTCTATCTCTCTTTCTCTCTCATGTCTCCTTTTCTTTCTCTCTCTTCTCTCTCACTTCTCTCTCTCTTTCCCTTCTCTTTCTTTCTCTCCTCTTTCTTTCTCTTCTTTCTCTTTCTCTCCTCTCTTTCTCTTCTCTCCCTCTCTCTTGTTCTTCCTTTCTCCTCTCTCTCTTCTCTTTCTCTCTCTTACTCTCTCACTCTTCTCTCCCTTTCTCTCCCTTTTCTTTCTCTCTCTTCTCTTTCTCTCTGTTTCTTTCTCTTCTCTCTTTTTTTT